TATGCGAAACGGTTAGAAATTGTTGATACGAAAGTTATCAGATGCGTTCATATGATTGTGAACTAGACTTTGTTCTTTTCAACAATTGCATGTTTGAGACTTATCACAACACTAAATACATAGGCGAGGAATGGGTCAAAAAGGCTGATGTTAGAGGTTTTCTGGAAACGATTTTTTTCTAATAGTTGAACTTGAGCAAGTCTTTTACCCTAGCTGATTTTCATAGATGGACATAGAAATATTCCAACTATAGAGAAAACTCATCTTGAATCACGGAATTGCGCAAACTTAGATTATTATTTGCCGTTCGTAAAATCTGCCCTTCTCCTTCATTTTAGACATATTTATGTATTTTACCACGTCAGAAATCCAAATCGTGCAAGTGCAGAAAAAGAATAAACAGCTATTTCTTAACCATTTGGTCATGTCTGATCATTTTCAAATCAGTATTTTTAATGTTTTGTCTCAACATTCTACAGCTTCCTTTCTGCTTATGTAATATATCATATATTGAATGGGTCGGACCATCAACAAATTCAGATCGAACTTATAATTTATTTGCATGTAATACTGTTGTTCTTTATTACAATTCAACATGTTTCCATTGCAACCTTTATACGGGGGATTGGTTTTACAGGTTAATGTGACCCGTGAAGATCCGGGGTAGAATAGGTCTTCAGCTACCCATGCTTTCCGTAAAAGGTGACTATGCTTGTCGTAAGAGGCGACTAATGGGATCGGGTGGCAGACTTGGTTGATCCTCATGATATCAATCACTGGATTGTCTGGTTCAGACAGACCGCCGTCATATAGCTTGAATATTGCTGAGTTCGACGTTACACATCCAACAAATAAGTTAGCGTTTTACAATACCGTAACTAATTCATTTTGTGATATGTTTTCAATAAACATAACACGACAACTAAGCCAAATGTTTCTCGAAATGCTTGCATGTTTGTACACATTTTGTTTTGTTTGCATGTTTGTTGTTTAACGCCACACTCAGCATTATTCAAGCTATAATACGGCGGTCTCTGAATAATCTAGTCTGGACCAAACAACCCAATGATTGCCGTCATGAGCATCGATCGTCGCAGTTGAGATTCAATGACATGCATCAACCAAGTAAGCGAGCCTGACCACCCGATCCCGTTAGTTGCCTTGCGACAAGCTCGCTCGTCATCTCCCCTTTGTGTCACTCACTGAGTCTGAATGCGGCCAGTTTGAAGGCGGGAGGCGGGGCTGCTCGCCTCGGCACGAGCAGTCTGGGGAAGGACGATGCGTATATCATCACAACGCCAAGACAAGGCCAGACTTTTTCCTCATCAAATACATATTTTTTCTAACCGCTGGTGAACAGAACTCATTAGATGGAGCGGTATTCTAGCATCTTTTCAGCCGACTGGGACCCTTCTCGAACAACGCAGAATTTAAATTACATTTGTTAACTTTAATACATGACAACATTTGCCTTTTTCTGTCCCGCCTTCACGCGATGAGAAATAGGGCTTTTGAACTAGAAGAAGCATCATACATCTCCGTCCCGAGTTTAATGTTATTAAGTACGGAACCCGTGCTTTCAACAAATCATCAAATTTCATCTGTGGTGCAACAAAAAGAGATGTTACCGTCTTCACATTGAGTTCAGGACAGCAGATGATGGAGGGTTTTACAAAACGTGGATCGATCCTAGCGACAGATGCGAGAGTCACGGCTTGAGGGAAGCAACTGTTTTTTTCAATTAGCACTATGCCTCCACGAGTTGTGTCCCTTGTGATGCGTGTTCGTGTGTGGTTTGATGGGGTTGTGGTGAATGTTCTTTACAATTGTCTTCACAGTTTAACACATTTATATAAACATCCGAACTATTCATACACTTCACTCAAAAACAAACATGATACTATTCAGGAAGAAATTCTGAAGCAATCGAACCACATCCTTATCCAGGACCTTGCGAAGATACCCTGGGTTAAATCATCTAAATTCGAAATACAGCCATTTGTCAAGGAGGCCTCCAGAGTCGGGAATTCAGTTGCCGATTGATCTTAGAAAGGTTAAATCATATGGTGATCTATGCAGGCTTAACCGGAACTTGTGAGGCACCACAGGCACATGCTCCATATGAAAATAGGATAATTGACACCCCCTGTGATTCCTCTTATTCATTAAGTCTTTTACGGTAAATACGATTTAAATTGTTCATGTATTCTTATCAACGTCAATCGTCTTATAATCATTATTTGCTAGTTTCCTTCTGAATTGTTAATCTGTTGGTCGGAATAACAACTCTTAAGAATTGATGCTGTACTTGTAAAAAAATTGTAATTTGTAAATAAAAGCGTTTCCAATTAACATGTATGCATACTTATGACCCTGTCTCCTTTTGTTCGTTTAAGTGAGTGGGCTACATTTGTACATGACGTGTCTCAGGAATGAATGTCGACGCACGATTGGTTCGTTTGGTGTGAATAGTTTGTAGTAAGTCTACTGATGTCAGTGAGTGAGTTTGGTTTGTGATTGTAGACGACTGTAGACGTGCGTGTGTGCATGTCAACAATTTCACATGGCTACCACACCTTCTGCTAACGTCCTTAGGTTTTGCGGACGGGAATCCAACCACCGACCTTCCGCTCTCCTAACGATATCGTCTATCAATATAGTGTTTGTTAGATGCAATAGGGCAACTTTGACTCTGCAACCGATATTTACCCCACACAATCCGACGGTATTGGTTTAAATATAATTATAAAGGGGTGTTTGGAGTGTAACGACGTTTGGACACAACACATAGAATAGTTATAGCTACACGTGGTTCCTGGGATATTCGCCCAAACCCTTGGAAATGTAGCAATCCCGAACACCCCGTCCTTTATAAGTACCTTGTTATTACATAATTAGAAATCAGTGGCATCGCCTTAATATTCATTCCCCGTACATCCACATACAACCAACAATGAAATTGAGTACATTCATTTCTCTTTATTTATTTCAGCAAACAATAAGAAAAAGCAACAGATATATTTGTATATATATATATATATATATATATATATATATATATATATATATATATATATATATATATATATATGACATGAACCTACACCTGCACTGACGTTGAACTTCCCATTCACATTTATAGTCATTACATGTTGTATATTGTATCGATCATCATCCTCTAGAGACACCCAAGGGACCATGAATCGTGAAACTTGGTAATAATGTTCATATTTATATTCATATTACAATATTGAAGTATATAGAATGAATTAGGTGAAATATATGAATAATATATACAAAATATATATATATAAATTAGTACTTGTTTTGGGTGTTTGTTTGGGTTGTTGGGTGCAGTGTTTCGGCGAATGTTTTCAGCCAAGTAACGTTTTGATAACGTTTGTATTCGGTTGGTCAAATCCAGTTTTTTTCAAGTGTATACTTTCATTTCTGGCCGACAGTTTACATACGGATTATACTACTATAGATATGACAATCAGTGATCCTATTATGCCCAGTGCTTATATCTGCTGCCTTAACAGCCAATGTATAATATGTATCCAAAGTGCATATGTTATGCATTGTTGAGATGTCCAATGTTGATTCATAATGCTTTATAGTAATGTTATAACGGCCCATACCTCATATATATCCCAAGTATTCAAAATAAACCCGGAAATATATATGCAAAAGAATTCGGCGTGAAACCAATTGTATTATAACATTACCTAGGTTTACACATTACTGCAAAGTAATTGCAATTACAGCACACAATAGAAGGGAAGAAAAAAGTCAAAGGCAGTACAATTGTAATGACAGTATAAAAAACATTAGCAGTAACATTTTTGGGAGGCAGTTAGAAGCAGTGGTTATAGTAATAAAGTCAGTGATAATTATATTCACCCAGCAGCAACAGTGGTCAAGCTTCCAAAATAGGCCTTGGGTGGATGCTCAGGATGAAAACATGATCTTCACACAACCGCGGGTCTTGTAATGTGACATGAGAGAGGTATGCTCTGCCCACTTATATAGTTTAAATACCGCGCTTGATTAGTCTCCAGCTGTTCTGTAAGATTCCAGATTACATTTGGCTCCTAAAGCATCACAGTACACTTCGAAAACTTCCACACCACTGCTTACATGAGATAGTAATACGTTCCCTAAGAACTAATTATTATTAAAACACAATGTTATGAACTTCCACTGAATCTTAACAGAGACAATATTATACAGTAATGCAATTTCAAGATTGTTTAACAATAAATTACACTGTCATATAGCAATATATGTTGTCTTATCGGGTTGATAAGACGCCAAATGTATACGTAACGATGTTAATATAGTTGATACCTCATATAATATCCCCACTGTGTATATACATGCAGCCTTGTCAAGATTGTTTGACATGATCTCTGGTGACGCTTAAACAAACTGCTTTATAGGTGACGTTACTGGCAGTTAGCATTTGCTGCCTTATGAAGAACTGTGCTATAACAGACAATACGTCTTGTGTGATGCCTCACCTGCCACGCTATAATGGTTGCCTCACATGATACCTTTAAAGTTGATATCAGCTTCCATGGCTGTCATTGTCTCACATGATAAATTTAAGGTTGATGATATTAGCTGCCACGACTGTCATTGTCTTATATGATATATTTATGGTTCATATTAGTTTCGATGATTGTCATTATCTGACATGCTATATTAATAATTGATATTAGTTGTCACGACTGTCATTATCTCATATGATATCATTAAAGTTGATATTGGCTGCCACGACTGTCATCGTCTTATATGATATATTAAAAGGTGATATTAGCTGCCACGTCTGTCATTATCTCATATGATATCATTAAAGTTGATATTAGCTGCCACGACTGTCATTGTCTTACATGATATATTAATAGTTGATATTAGCTGCCACGATTGTCATCGTCTTATATGATATATTAAAGGTGATATTAGTTGCAAAGGCTGCCTTTATCTCATATGATATCTTTAAAGTTGATATTCGCTGCCACGACTGTCATTGTCTATCATGATAAATTTAAGGTTGATGACATTAGTTGCCACGGCTGTTATTGTCTCACGTGAAATCTCCAACATTGATATTTGCTTCAACAGCCGTAATTGTTTCTTATGGTTTCTTCAACGATGAAGCTTGCCTTGTCCTCACAACATTTTCTGCATTTAAATAACATTATTTCTAGTATTCTATAACAACAGCAGAGAAAAGATATGTTCCGTCTTGATTATGGAACATTAAACATTAACGGCCGGGCAAAAGAAAGCGTACACTTAAAACTTTGATTTGACCAAAATATTACACACTTTATCACAACGTTACCGATATCTCAAGCTGAAACCAGCCGCCAAAACACGGCAACCTCAAGGTACAAAACACAACTTTGATACCCGGATCAAGACTCACCATCGAATTTCAATTTATTGATTTGGTTGGGGTTCTTTTCATTTTGAGCCATCATCGAACATGTGTGTATATCCTTTCTTTTGTCCGGCAGTGTACATTACTATAACAACAACACGCATGACTATGCATCCATTCACTACAGACACGGGTGACTCTGACAGTTACTGCGGTGCACCTATCACAGGAACGAGATGCTAATGGAAGGTCGCAACGGGCGGTGAATATAAGGTAATGTATAGAAAGTCCAGGATACTATGATGATAACGAATTTAAAACATACAGGTGAAGTTCTTATGCAAAGACACATGATATCATCCTCGATTATCCAGTGTATAATATCTGCATGATATTATGATAAGTACCCTGGAACAATCCGCTGTCATTGCTTTCGTTTTGAGCCTGATTGGAATAATACGACGCTAAATTAGTCGTCCAATCATGTATCTCTCACGTGCGAGAGAAATCCTGTGCTAAGTTAGAGACACAAGAGATGAAGCTGATGAGGTCACTTCCGAAGCAGAGCTATGTGTGGCGAATCGGTCAAAGATATTTATCATATTAGCATGCAGATAATTGAGGATGTTATGCTATAGGGCATAATATTGTGTAAAATGGCACTATACATTTAACATCTTATGCATTAAGAGTAAATTATTGAATATACGAACTATGCCATGAACGCTTTTACTGTTCCAGCTATTATTTTAGCACACATTGGACACGTGTCCACACGTTCAGCGCAGGTGGCGCACGTTACAAGGTGGCCGCACGGAAGAAATACAACGCTAACTTCCGCTGTTTGACACAGTCGACATGTGACCTGCGCGCGCAGCTTCCTGTTTTCAGTTTTAACAGGACTAGACAAAGCAGTGACGGTTGTTTGTCCTGATCTCTTCTCACGGGGCAAACCACGAGCTATGTAACTACATGTATGTTCGGATGTTTGACTGACGCCTTGTTTGGTCATACATTCCCTTTCTTCGGATTCCAATGACACGCTATCATTAAACATTTGTGTAACATTATTTATTGGGCATGTCATTTCCTCGTTAGCTGCTAACGGTTTGACCAATGAGGACGCCCAGCTCTCCTCTTTTGCAGATCCACTCTTTACGTCTTCGTGATGTGCTCCTGCAGATGCGCATGCGTTGTTGGAGTTCCGGTTTTGGTTATCTGAACCCGCCCCGCCCATCTTAGCGTCATCTGTTTCTTTCTCTCCGACGTGTCCTTCTGTTGCGGATTCTATGTGGGTGGCCGCTGTAACTTGTCCCGTCAACGCTCTGGTGTTCTGGTTACTTGAGGCCTCAATCGGGGAAACTCCTTGTGCCAGTTCAGGCTTCCTAGTTGCAACTCCGAGTTGGTTCAGGTCTGTCTTGTTGATGAACTGACAGTGTTCCGAGTATCTCTGATGTTCGGCCACAGGATCATGTTCTTCCTCCCAGTCTCTCAGAGTTATCCCACACTGGAAACACGTGACCCGGTCAGCTGACCCGATGTAAAAGAAGCCAGCTGCTGCCAACTCCTCGGGAGTTTTGGGCACATATCTTCTCGGCCAATCAACGAAGGAGTCAAGACGAGTTTTAAGAAGTTCGTATCCCGGATGTTTTGGCTCTGTTTCATGTCCCTTAGCCTTCACATGTCGTGCATGTTTCGTCCCTTCCATTTGCTTGTTCTTGTATTCAAAATTCCTACCAAAAACAGTAATGTTAAATATGTATAACGATTGTCATGTCGATGATGCGGGGACATATATAGTGACATAAAACTACAATTCTTTAAGAAATTAAAATGTGTAAATCGTTTTGCAAACGAGTTGGCAAAAATGTGGTAGAGCTCCTCTGACATTAACTTTCATTACAAGAGGTGTTAAATACTTGTGCCGGTTAATACACCTTCGCCCAGATTGACTTCCATATCAGTGCCATATACTAGTGCCATATTAGTGTTAACTGCATTGGATGGTTCTGGCAGGGCCACCTTGGCCACACACATTAAGAATATTCTATTCAACTTTAGGTTGTTGTTTTTTTTATCTATATTCAAACACAGCCATTTTGACAAATTAATCTACAACAAACCTTGTGCAGTGAAGTCAACAATCTATCAACATTTATATTCTTATAAACAAGTCAAATTCCTTTTTAAATATTGAAAGTTATTTGAATGATTTTATGCCTCTTCTGGCTGTAAATACTGGAAGATCCCATGACATATGCTTTGATGAAAGACTTTGTTCAGATTGTCCCCTTAGAGGAAAACATTACATTTAAAATACATATTCACGTTGTTTACACCTATATATGATTAATTGTATCTACTAATCCTAGTACATTGCGTTGGTCAATATTATTCTGTATACGAATTATTATGGTCCAAAGGCCATATACTAAATAAAACTGTCTGTCTGTCAAAAAACACCTTTCTTGATATAGGTGAAGAATAATGGTAGTCACAGTGATATAAATAAAGGATTAGGCATTAATAAGGAAAGCCGTACATTTAATCGATATCGTGTTTCCTGATGCAGATGGTCTATCATAAGCATATTTCTCTTAAACACAGGAGTACAGACACCACACACTGCAGCGTTATTAAATTATCTGTATGTGTGTATATGTGTATGTGTTACAATGTGTAAAATCAGTCAATGTGTAAAATGACTGAAAGTTTCACGTTGGCAATTATGCTAGGATATCTTGGATGAATTGGAAAAGGAATTAGAATTGAATGGAATAGCACAAACTTATAAAAAAAAATAAGAGGCCTAGAAAGACCTGAAAATATGGATATATAGATACATGAAAGGAGCTTTTTAAACTAAGTATATGACGATAACCATGAACAGAGGAGTTATTACATGTATCCCGAAGCCCAATAGAAACAGACGCCTGCTGACAAACTGGAGACCAGTATAGTTATTAAATACTTTGTACAAGATAAGTGCTTGCATAATAAATAGAATTAAACAAACTCTAAATGTAGAATTCATGATAATCAGACCGGATATATTCCTGGTAGATACATAAGTGAAAATGTTAGGCTATTGTATGATATTTTGTTAGAAACGAAAAGGCAAAAGAAGCTAGGTTTATTACTATTAGTAGACTTTGAAAAAGCATTCGATTCAGTTTCCAAGCGTTAAATAATGTTGGTGTTTGAAAAAATTGGATTCAATAAAAATATTCCAATATGGGTCAGAATTCTTATTTCAAGTGCCACTTCTTGTATTATACAAAATGGACACCTATCAACGTTTTTTGAAAACAAAATGGACTGTTGACAAGGAGATCCACTTTCACCCTATTCATTTGTATTTGTAGCTGAGATATTATGAGTTACTGTGAAAAGGACAATAACAATTTATATTACCTTAAAATACACAGAACATAAACAAGGACAGTTTGCCGACGATACTGAATTATTTCTAATCGGCACTGATGCCTCCCTTAACGAAGCCATAAGCACGTTATACAAGTTTTACAAAATGTATGGACTAAAAATAAATATCGTTAAAACTAAGGCAATATGGATAGAATCCTTACACTAAAAGAGAATTGTTGAACATGAAACTCGCCGACAACGATACCTGCTCATTCTGTGGAATAGCAAAAGAAAAAATAAATACCATGTTTATCTGGAATGCACAATTGTCAACAACTTTTTGCAAGATTTAAAACAATTCTCAAGTAATGTACAAGGACATATTGTTCAATTTACTAACAAAGAAGTTCCTTTTGGAGAACTTAATAAGAACTTTCTAAATCCTATTGTGATAGCAGCAAAAAGATACATTTATGTTATGAGTATAAAAGGGTTAAAGCCCTACTCCTCCAAGTTTATAACAAATATTAATCACTTCGAAGAGTTTTTTGCCAGAAGAATCAATACATCGCTTCAACGCGAAATGGGGAAATTTAACTGATGCATTCAATCCCCACACATAACCCCTTATACTTATATGTTCATATTTAAGAAATCCACTGCAACCCATTGGGTTACTATGTTATCACATTCGTCTAATTTTAGAGTTTTCTTTCATTCTTGTCATTTTCAGTCACTGGGTGATGAAATAGAGTATGAAAATATTTGGAATTCGTTATCACTATGTAATAAAAGGAAAAATAATTGTAAAATGAACATTTCAGTAATTTAACACATAGACTGTAACATATACATGTAATGGCATAGTGTTAATTTAGATGTAGCAAAAACGGAAACGGGTCATACCTCATACAAACCCCTCTGATATGATTCAAGATAGCTTGTTTTAGTTACCTTATTATTCGCCCCCGTGCTATGCATACATGTCATATATTTGGATATTGCATGAATGTAAGCGGCAAATTCAGGAACCTGTAGAGTATGGAGACGACAGTACCAGTGGGCAGATCTTTCTAACTTTCACTTTCATTTTCGCCGAATCGATGTCTTGATATGTGAATAGACTTCCCAGAAAGGTGACGTGAGCTTGCATATAGCGCACATGCAGTACAATGACGCGTGTATCCAGAGCGGAGTCGATTTCATCTGTTACAGACTTACATATAACACAGTCCGTTTCCAAGAGTGTAATACCACGGGCATCCGAAATTCTGATAAAAATATATACTGGCATCCGACGTTTATTTCTAGATCTATGTAACGGGGAAGATTTCATATGCATATGAAAATTATCAGTCAACATTATAAGAGTAAAATTGTTATATTTGAAGGTAAAAGGTAAAATTTGTATACAGTAAAAATAAACTTGAAGTGATTCCAATAACAGGTATGAAGCTTCATGGGAACCGGTTTCTCTTGAGTGCAATCGAAGGTTTGTCAGGAAATGTCTCAAAGCCTTCCATGTATTGGTTCCATCGATTTTCCTATATGGCTGCAAATTATGGGGATATGGTAATGTCTAAGTCACTGAGAAATGACCACTTAAGGTTTTTTTAATGGCAACAAGACTTATGAATAGTACCCAAAACTTCATGATTTTTGGCGAATATAGATGCATATTCCTCTATTAAAAATTCAGAACTTGTAATCATAGATTTCGGATAGAAACCCTAAGATGGAAACAAATCGCTAGTCTGAGAGAATATCGAACGTGCCACATATTTACTTCCCTGCAGTTGTTGATGAGTACCATTATATATTTAAATGGGAATATACATCCCTGGATATTCTTCTAATACGTTCCCGAAAACACATTTGGCAAGACTATTTTCCTTCAGCAGCTCTAAACACTTGGGAAACTTCTGTAAATATACCACCATATTAATAAATGAGTTCTAAATCCCTTCATCCTGATGTTATTTGAAATATGCAATGCATTATATACCAGTATGTATTTCATGTGAATTAAAATTGTAATCTTGTGCCACCTTGGGTGTTTGTTTTTGTAAATAAATGAATCTGAATCTGTCAACAACAGACACTTACACTGCCATCACTGATTTTCAGTGATCCATTCATATACTTCCCACCACTAAATACCTTTTACGTCGAACCTAATCTGTTTGAGCAGATAATCGAGGCTGATGATTTTCGGGTGTTTACGTTTCATATATACAAATATCTTCCTTTTTTCATACTGCGTGCCATCTTACTTATAGTTCAATTTCAATCTTCAGAAGTGATAGAAAATGTACTGGGTATCAGAATTCCCAGGTTTCAAAGTGTTCATGGATATTATAAATTATTAATCCAATAGCTTCCAACTTCCTTCTGTATTGAAATCCTGAGCCCCGCAGGGATTCCGGGACTCCAGTACCTCATGTTCGCCTGAAATTTGTGACCGTTACGCCGCTTCCAGCAATATCCAGCAATATTCCAGCAATATCACGGTGGGGGACGCCACAAACAAGAAACAATAGCAATAGAATATATAGCAGCCCGTCGTTAGGGGAAAGCGGACTCCTTTCTGTTTACATGCGGGCATTTTTATGATAATTCTATCAATTTTAGCTATTATACTTTAAACCTTCACATTTAGTGCATTATATATTCCTTTGTTAACGTTTGTGTTAACATTAAAGCGTTGTACCGGAAACATATGTACTGGTCCATTCGTTTATATCGGTTGTAAGTGTCAAGTTTCTATTTTGACATGACATGTGCGACAAAGATACCAAAAAGTGGAAACTTTTCCGCATAATAAATTCGTTATGGTGTCTTTAGTTGCCGTGTACGGTGTCATATTAGGTTAGCAGAAAAACATTTTCCATTAAACTAATATGACACCGTATACGGCAACTAAAGACACCATAACTAATAGTATCATGTTCCTTGTGTGTAGGGCATTGCCTTCAGTTGGGTGTGCTTGTCATAGGAGCCGACAAATGTGATTTGGATTGTTACAATGAATGAGCTGGATGATTGGTTGGCTTTATGCCCTGAGGGCGTATCAACCACTGTTCTATTTATAATATTGATATATCTATAATATTGCTGATTGTGATGTAACACAACACTCACTCGCTCTCATAGCATGCGTTTTAGCACACGGGTGCATATTTCATGAATGCGACCAGTGTATAAATATATATATATATATATGTGTGTTTTATTTATTCACTTGTTTGTTGTTTAACGCCGCACTCAGCAATATTCCAGCTATATGACGGCGATCTCTAAATAATCGAGTCTGGACCAGACAATCTACTGATTGATAACATGAGCATCGATCCACGCAATTGAGATACGATGATATGCATAATCCAAGTCAGCGAGCCTGGCCACCCGAACCCGTTAGTCGCCTTTTACGACAAGCATAGTCTCCTTTTACGGCAAGCATAGGTTGCTGAAGACCAATTCTACCCCGGATCTTCAAGGGTCGTCTATATGTGTAAATGCACTGATCAAGCATAGGAACTACATGTTTGCAAGGGCGTTCAAAATGTTTAGCCGATAGATACCGTTGAGGTGCAGAGTTGCTGATAAAGAGTCGTGGCTAAGCTGTGCATTCGTAACGCCATCAACGGATGGATCAATGTGTGCACAAATGCATTGTTAAAGAATTTCAACAAAACAACAACTAAGATATGTGATTACCTTACTGCAAAAGTCCTACACATTCGCTTTGCTGCATTGGGGAAATAAAACGTTGTGGTGCGGGTGACCTTGGACTTCTTGTATGAAATCCTGATCACGTGGCGGACTTCCCGAGATGAGTTGGAAGTTGATTTGAATGTGATTGGGAATGCCCGTGCATAACATGTTTAAACAGGTACTATTGCTTGCTATCATCCATTCAGTAACTACAAAGCAAGTACAACCAGAGTCAGGATCAGAGTACAATTGTCTTGAGCATATTTGAACTGTTACGACAAATAAATACAGCGTATGCATATCAACGCTTCGGTGAATATATGCAATTTGAATGCACACAGAGTCATAAACAGAAATTTAAATTCTATATTTAGTTACACAACATTCAAACAGTTCAACAGTTAACGTGAAGATTCGGGTTAGAATTGGTCATCAGCAACCAATGCTTGTCGTAAGAGGTGACTGACCGGATCAGGTGGTCAGGCTCGTTGACTCGGTTTATGCATGTAATCGTATGCATATTACGTACGTCGATGCCCATGATGTCAGTCAATGGACTGTCTGGCCCGGACTCGATTATTTACGCACCACCGTCACATAGCTGGAATATTGTTGAGTGCGGCGTTAAACAACAAACAAACAAGGTTTGTTTCCAATGAGATATCATTCACGTTATTCATCGCGTAACATTAAATGCACGATTGGAAGAAGATACTGTTGTCACTGTCCATTTGCTTCAGAATAATTTTGAATACAATTTTCAAATATTCGCATCACGTGAGCCAAGCCAAGCGATAACCCCGGGTGTAGTTGACCTTCATACCGGCAGGGGCTATTTCCCTGAGCTGTAGTTATTATTAGCACAATGGGAAATTCCCCACATTTGTTGTCACATGCAATTTAAAGATTAGGATTGAATCTATCCTATAATAATTGTGCGGGTCACTTTTTAATTTATATACAATATGTTACTCTATTTTCAAGCAAATGTTATGATTCAAATTCAACATCACAAAACTGAGTAATATTTCATTTCTCAAAACGGCCTGATTCATACTATATTGTTGTACAAAATGTATACACTGCAGATTATGAATACAATGGGATGCTTTCTTATGAATTTAAATATATATAGGACAAAACAACGTTTAATTCACACCCCGTTCTTCACTCTCATAACACTAACATTCCTGACAAAACATTTCATTCAGCACAAAGCACAGACAACAGGTTTGGTTGTATTTTGTCTATTTAGTTCAATCAATGATTCATAAACACATTCTCATGAAACAGTTAATCCAGACTCCATTATTTACAGACCGCTGGAATATTCCTGAGTGCGGCTTTAAACAACAAACAAACAAAAAGTATTACTTTATTCAGTTGGCGGTTGAAAAACCTATAAACCGTGTACTTTGCAAAGTGAGTCCAAAATGGCGGAAGGTGGCCGGTGAAAATGCAAACACGCTTTGCTTTGTATCATTGTGTCGGTGTGGGGGACATCTGACAATATGCGAAATAGCAGTGTAAGGGCCAGGCAGACTTTTAACTAGTCCTCGACCATGGCCGTGGAATATATTTATTTTATGAAAAATAATAATCTAGAAATGCATACAAAAGTAAGTCTAGCCAGCTCAAGCTAGCTCTATTCTGAAATCAGCATAGGGAATTTTTTTTTAATTTTTAGAGTCAAGAAGGATATTGTGTAATATAAGATTTCAGAGACTAAATGTTAGTCTAACTCTTAACGAACGTGATGCCTCACTGAGTTACTGCGCTGGCCCGATTAGACACCGGGACGAGTGAACCCGGGAACCAGTCCAGATGCCGCGTACACTGGAGTTGCTTCCCTTCGATAACTCCGCTCGATTGCCGCGAAAGGGGATCATTGACACTTTCTGTAGGCAATTGTTTTAAGCCTACATTGTAGTTATGCCACTGCCTAAAAGCAAGTTTCAGTTGGAACTATATTATCGGTTGTCACTGTTAATCTGACTAAGCACTGACCTTATTGACCCATAAATTAAGGAAAACTTGCAATGTCCGTTTGCTGTCCGTTTGGGTGGATGGTACAGGGATGGGCGGTCGGGTTGGGGATTCTGGGCGAGTGAAAGAGAGGGAGAGATCTAGAGGCCCCGATCTAGAGGCCCCACAGCTTGTATACGGAGATACAACCTATGGATCAGGTGTTACTACATATATACTTGTGACTACGGTGGCCCATAAGGGACATGGCGTCTGTTTTTGAATATTTTGATATTTCACTTACTGTTATCGTAACCTTTTGCAAATTAACACGATTTTTCATGAAAATATGTGATAAATCGTGTATAAAGAAGATATTGAATCGCTGAAAAGTGAAGCGAAAATGTCAAAAACTAAAATGAAAATGTCAAAAACAAAAACGAACATAAAAACAAAAGCGAAAATGCCAAAAACTAAAATGAAAATGTCTAAAACAAAAACGAACATGTCAAAAACAAAAGCGAAAATGTCAAAAACTAAAACGAAATGTCAAAAACAAAAACGAACATGTCAGAAACAAAAGCGAAAATGTCAAAAACTAAAATGAAAATGTCAAAAACTAAAATGAAAATACAGAAAACTGTTTCCACCGCGGTGGAAACAGTTTTCTGTATTTTCATTTTAGTTTTTGACATTTTCGCCTCACATTGCAGCGATTCAATAGCTACTTGAAAGAACATTTCCCATGTCTTCGGTTGTTTTTTTACATGATTTATCACATATTTGTATGAAAAATTGTGTTAATTTGCAAAAGGTTATGATAAAAGTAAGTGAAATATCAAAATATAGACAAACAGGCTCCATGTCCTTTATGGGCCACCGTATGTGACATAGTTAGCTGAAGATGACATGCACGAGAACAATTTGTGTCACTAAAGTCAAGCCAGAGTTGTATTGATAAGTAAGCCCGGATGCTTTTATATTGATCATGAATACATAGAAAGCGTGTTTCATTTTTTAATCGAAATATCACTGATAAGTCAATTTTTTAATAAACAAACTGTGTGCTGGGGAGAGAGTGCAGCATTTCATTTGAGTTTTAATACAACGTATTAGTACGCCGTCAATGGCTTTGACTTGAACGCTAAGTTCTCCCTCTGACTTTGTTACACTAGGTGAGTAAGAGGGGTCAGACGCCATTTATAAAGTTGTCAGTAGTGAATGGGAGTTTTAAAGGAAAGCTCAAAGTAATGTAGTTTGTTGATTTAGGTTTGTGAACCCCACGAACAGAAGGGAGCTGACCACCAATGATCATAATCCTGAGCCGAGAGTCGAAAATACAAATCACGGACCCACAACTCCGCACATGTCTTGGAGAGTTTATGACATTTTGTCATGTTTGGTGAACCAGCTTCACACAGTGATGCCGTATATATGCGGTCATGTGACCGCATGTAAACAATGACATGGTAAGCATGGCTAGAGGAGAAAAGAATAATACTGACTACACACATAGTCGCCTGAGCACCACGACTTTGTGTGTATGAAATATCACACGAAAGCTATGACAAGGTCAAACAAGAATGTGAATTTGAAAAGAACTAAACATTTCTTAAGTAGAAATAGACGCGTGTATACATCCCATGCTACATATACAGGAGTGTGACAAATTACGCAAGCCTCACCTTGTGCGGCACTTTTAGTAAACAAATTAAACATTACATCTTTTCATTTCATTACCTCTTTACATGTATGACATTGAGCTAATAGTCTCATGCTGTGAACATTGATTTATACTTGCGGATCCTATCCGCGCGGCGAGTACAGTTACATACAACTTACGGATCAGGTGTTACTTAATACAGGCCTGTGACATTGTCAGCTGAATACTGCATGGAAGTATACAGGAAGCCTAGATGTTTTATGTTTAATACATACGTCTTTCATATGTTTAATCCACATCTCTCGTCTCATAAGTCTACTTGTTTGTAAGTAAATACTTTGCCAGGTGTAGAAATGCAACATTTTGTCTTCATCGTTAATACAATGTGTGTTTACACCGTCAATGGCTGTGACATGACCCCACGGGTCAACCCACATCGCATTCATGAGTGAGTCTACTGGTTGTAGATTTACGTTTGTAGAAACCCACGAACAGGACCAACGATCATAATCCTCGGCTGAGAGTTGTAGAAACCCACGAACAGGACCAACGATCATAATCCTCGGCTGAGAGTTGTAGAAACCCACGAACAGGACCAACGATCATAATCCTCGGCTGAGAGTTGTAGAAACCCACGAACAGGACCAACGATCATAATCCTCGGCTGAGAGTTGTAGAAACCCACGAACAGGACCAACGATCATAATCCTCGGCTGAGAGTTGTAGAAACCCACGAACAGGACCAACGATCATAATCCTCGGCTAAGAGTTGTAGAAACCCACGAACAGGACCAACGATCATAATCCTCGGCTGAGAGTTGTAGAAACCCACGAACAGGACCAACGATCATAATCCTCGGCTGAGAGTTGTAGAAACCCACGAACAGGACCAACGATCATAATCCTCGGCTGAGAGTTGTAGAAACCCACGAACAGGACCAACGATCATAATCCTCGGCTGAGAGTTGTAGAAACCCACGAACAGGACCAACGATCATAATCCTCGGCTGAGAGTTGTAGAAACCCACGAACAGGACCAACGATCATAATCCTCGGCTGAGAGTTGTAGAAACCCACGAACAGGACCAACGATCATAATCCTCGGCTGAGAGTTGTAGAAACCCACGAACAGGACCAACGATCATAATCCTCGGCTAAGAGTTGTAGAAACCCACGAACAGGACCAACGATCATAATCCTCGGCTGAGAGTTGTAGAAACCCACGAACAGGACCAACGATCATAATCCTCGGCTGAGAGTTGTAGAAACCCACGAACAGGACCAACGATCATAATCCTCGGCTGAGAGTTGTAGAAACCCACGAACAGGACCAACGATCATAATCCTCGGCTGAGAGTTGTAGAAACCCACGAACAGGACCAACGATCATAATACTCGGCTGAGAGTTGTAGAAACCCACGAACAGGACCAACGATCATAATCCTCGGCTGAGAGTTGTAGAAACCCACGAACAGGACCAACGATCATAATCCTCGGCTGAGAGTTGTAGAAACCCACGAACAGGACCAACGATCATAATCCTCGGCTGAGAGTTGTACATACAACCGACGGATCCACAACCCGCACGAGCCTTGGAGAGAATGTAATAGCAATCAATTCTTGTATACAAGAACGTTAAAACCTCCACAACGATGACCTAGTTCATGAATTGTTTTACATTCA